TTCCTGTGCGTTCCTGCCCAAAAATAGCCCTGGAAACATGTAACACTATTTCCTCAACAGAAGACACTGACTTTATACAAGGTTGTATTGTTTAAAATATATGAATCTCACATAATGTGTTGATAGATGAGAATTACATTATATTCAGTTTTCTAAGTTACTGCCTTGCTACCGAGGTGAGGTAATGGTGGTGACACAGATTCAGGTGGGGTAGCCGTGTTGGTCTGAAGCAGCAAAACAAAGTCTGAGTCCAGTGGCCCCTTTAAGACCAACAAAGTTTTATTCAAGGAATAAACTTTCATGTGCATGCACGCTTCTTCAGATACTTTGTTGGTCTTAAAGGTGCCACTGGCCTCAAACTGTTGTGCTGGGGGACACAAACTCAGATGGATCACGAGGCCGAATTCTCTGCCCTTTCTCTTAAGCCAAACAGGCAGTTCTACCTTTAATCACCACCGTCCTTATTTCAGTACATCGTACTATTCCTAACATGTTTACATCAGCTCTGCTCCACTAACAGATCCCCGATGGAGAAGGGGCAAGGAATCCAGAATTCCAGCTGTGTCAAACATAGCAGTTTTAATGCCACACAGTGTAGAGGTGACAACTGCACTGAGAGATGTTCTCAGACACTTTATGGAAGAGGTATTTCAAAGAACAAGAACCACCACAATTATTTCGTTGTCTTTCTTTGCCCTTTACTGCACCCAAAGACATTCTATGAGCATATCAATACTGAACACCCTTATTTGCATCCATTTCATGCACCAACATTCTAATCACATTTCCACCTTGTTAGTGGTCATTATTATTGCTCTATTCTAAGTTAGAAGCATGCTACTTAGAAGCACTTGCAGAGCCAGGTTCATTAACCTGTGGAAAGCACCAGCAATCGATAGAGCTCAGCCACCATAACCTTGCTGTACACTTTAAAATGCTACAGTGATCACTGTTAGGAGCACACTGGCCTACACTGGGAAACTGAATTACAAACACAACCATACACACCCTCATTGGAACACACGTACACACTCGCACTTTCCAGCCAAAGGCCCTATTCTTTCAGCCTCTCGATTAGATGTGGGAATGCATTCCAAAGCTTCCTTGTCATGATCACCAGTGGTCATTTGCTAGAATTTAAACTAGGTCAACTCCTTTTGGATACTAAGGCAAGCTCAATAACTCAGGAATGTAACTGAACTGATCTGACGAAATGCCACTCAGACTTGCCTGGAGGCATTTGTATTCCCCCCCCCACTGGTATCACTGTAGAGCTTCATGCTGGTGAAGCAAATTGCCACCACCCTAAGCAAGAGCCCCACTTGTCTTTAGAATGATGGGTGTGTGGGGGGGTTGTCATCAAGGAATGCTAGAAGTAAAGGAAGAAAGTCTGAGCGTTCTGTAACCCAGACATTTTCCTCAGGAAGGCAAATCATTTTCATTACCAGCCTACTTAAAGCCATTTACAACTGAACTCAAATAAACAAGAATTGATAGGAGAAGAGAACTAGCTGCTTTGTATGGTGTGTGTATATAAACATAACAATAACTTCTGGCTGCACTAGTAAGAAGGACAGACTATTGTTGCTGCTGTTCAATTTTTGCTTTGAAAAAGTGATCATTATGAAGGAAACTTAAGACCTTTCCCTTTGGCCTTTAGTGAAGCAATCTACCTAGAAGCTGTGAAAGTGAGAGAGGAGCTCAAGCAATGCGGCACTAACTGCTCTTGGAGCCCTCACCCAGTTTGTCTGTGGAAGTGATAATATCGGCTGGAACGGAAGAGTCCAAATCAGCATCCAAGATGCCCAGTGGGTCCAGCTGTGCTACATGATGCCCTCGAATCTATGAAATGGGCCAGGAGTGAAAGGAGAAAGAGGATACCAAAAGAAAGAAGGAAGGGGAAGGGTGGGCAGAAAGGAAAGGATATAAAAATTAAAAATTACATTAGAATTAATTTGCAGAGTAATTCTCACCGACGTTTGGAGAATCGGATACTGCCGAATCATCAAAATTTACACAACTAATGCCGAGAGGATCAAGCTTGGCATGGTGGTGACCCCTGACCTAGAAGTAACAACAGAATTAGTCAGCACAAAGTTGATTAACGAACATCTTCATGCTGCAGCCTTTTTGTAAGTTCCGGATATCACATTCCTGTCGACAGCACTGTTTCACTCTGAACACTGTGATCCCGGCCTGCATCACAAGTTATAAACCAAACTAATTTTATCTTATTATCCGGGTCATGTTATCTTAGTAAAAATATTTCACACTACAAACTTTTGGGGAAATGAGATTCACTGTAAATATACTCAAGAAGAATTTAGAAATGGGGCAAGGCCACCAATAAGTCATTTTGCTTTATAGAGGTTCTTGCTAGCAGCACCTTCCTGTGTTAGTATACCCAAATACATCTGTTGAGTGTTTAGTCAATAAATTCCTAGAAAACAGCTTCATACAGAAGAATGCAGCTTTTCTTTATATTAGACTCCATGACTTCGATTTTCATGACATTTCATGTGCTTGATAAAGGATCTCTTTCACATTAACAACCAGCTTCGGCAACATTTTCATGTACTGTTTTGCTGCCCATGAGATAACATATGCCTGTGAAATGCTCCAGTATCCTAAGCTGCTCAAGTATACAGGTTTCCCCAGCCAGCAGATTCTATAGCCTAGGTTGTGCCTTCAGCTCGGGCCATGCAAACTTACAGGGCAGCCAAAACTGCAAACTTAGACATTAGTCTACATGGATTTCTATTCTGGAATGTAGCCAAACCAACCTGCAGCTTCTGGAACTTAAGCATCACCTGTATCAGAGGTTTATGCCAGTCAAGTGACTACATATTGTTTAACTGCAGTCATATCAGAAATTCCACAGCTCTGAGAATACCATTTTGGGGTGACAGCTTATCTTTTAACATTTATTATGCTGTCCGTTTGTTAGCAAGTGAGGACTGCACTGCAGTCCAGTAACAACCAGGAGCAAACTTACAGCATCATTCTAAGCATATTAGAAGTCACTCTAGCTGAACTCAGAGGGATTTGTCCTTAGTAAGTGAGCTCAGGAATTCAGCCTTACTTCAGGCCTCTCTAAATAAAAAGAATGGATCTACTGCCTTCTTAGCACAACAATCTTTGAAAATAAACCTGTGTTATAGTCAAAACAGATTAGTTATGAAGTCTGAAACTTAAAACTTAAATGATGAATACAATTGTACCCCAAAAGAAATAAGAACTATTGTATTTTATAGCTAATACCTTAAAAACTATAATGAAGGGGATGAAAGGGAAAATATTCTCTGTTCTATACATTATGTACTATATGATTGTCTTTGACAAATGTAATTATGTAGTATAATCTTTTTTTCTTTTCCCCCCTTTTCTTTTCTGTACCCCCACTGTTTTCCTAAAATAAAATAAAAATGGACTGGCTGGGCTGAAGTATTAACTTATGTTGAAAATAATAAAACTGTAGTATCTGTACAGTGAAGGCATTCTGACTTACCAGTTTGTTTTACAGTTGAAGTGCTATAAACATGCAAAGGGTTAAAATAGAGAGGTTACAATGAGCAGAGGTATCCCAGGGGTCAGGGTATGACCCTGTGAAGGATGCAGTCTTTCCACTGGATTCTTTCCACTAGTACATTCCCTTCTCCTTCAGGCATATCAGAAAAAAAACACCATGCACACATAATTTTGTGATAACCTAAAAGCAGGAAGCCCATTTGTAACAGCAAGAAAATACTCTTAACTGTTAAAGGTTTTACCAAGTTTTCAGGACAATGACTACCACTCAAACCTTGGTTCGTTGTCCTTAGGGACCCAGTGAAATCAACGGGAGCACTCTGATGATAGGACAAAACAAAAAGTACTGCATTCCCAGTAGTCCACAAGGGCTAAATCCTATTTTGATTACTGGATGCAAAAGTTCTCAAACACAGGGACAAAAGTAAGCTAGTACAGGGCAGTACGAAGCACCAGTAAAAAAGTGACTGAAGCGGTAGCTCCCATATTCTGCTTTGAGATCCCCAAAAGAGATGGTAACAGTAAGAAATGTAAGTGACTTTCACCCTGGCTTCAAAACAACAGTTGCCTATGGTGGTTGTCCTCCCCCCATTCCTTCAGCCTGGCTTTCTGGGGAGAAGTTCTGACAGAATTTTTTCGGAAATAAGATTAACAAACTCTAAACCAGTTTTTAGTTCGCATGTATACACATGACAGACATTACTGAGATTTATTTTCCAGCTATTAAACCAACTTGAAGTCAGCATGAGATTGTTCTAGGAATTGCAGCTTCTCATGCCATCAGATGGAGTTGCCGTAGGCTAGGCTAATTTTTGTATCTGAAACGGTGTGGGCTTTTAAGTAGCCGAAATGATGTAACATATATGCTGGCAAACCACAAAACCGACTTTAAGTTTTGGACAAACACTTTAAATACATCAAGATGGTAGAATGTTCCTGGATGTTTCAACAATTTTGTTAAGTTCTAAGACCTGCTAGTAGTTAAAAGGGTGGTGGTGGGGAATGTTTGGAATTCAGGCGACACCACACTAATGAGGGAGACTTCTTGCATGCCCTGGATTAGATTAAGAGTGGCCCATGTAGTTTAAGCACCAAATTGAGAATGTCTTCACCCTGTCCAATGGTGCAAGCAATTAAGCTTGTGGAACCATCAGTTGTGTCAGCTGAGCTCCACTTGGCATTTCAACCCATCTCTCCAACCATTTGGCTCAAATGAGTTGGATGCCAAATGCTGGAAGCTGTCTACTGTAATCTTTTTCTAGTCCCGCCATACCAATTTTTTAACTCTTTAACAGCTGATTCAGGCTCGAACATAAGAACAGCCATGCTGGATCAGACCAAAGGCCCATGAAGTCCAGCATTCTGTTCACACAGGGGCCAACTAGCTGCCTCTAGGAAGCCCACAAGCAGGATAACTGCAACTGTGTCCTGTCATCCATGCTCCCCAAGAGCTATACTGCTTCTGGTACAGCGCTCAACAAGGAAAGAAAGCACATGTCTCTCTAGAATTGCAGTGGACTAAAGGAAGGTACAGTGTTCCCATCCATCACCATAAGAAAAGGAAAGGTAGCCTTACCTGATATGCCCTAATAAGCGACTGGACTGCAAGATGATCTTCCACCAGTTTATCTACATTTGGCTGTGCTTGAAGCAAAGACTGTGCGCGTGTCAGGGTCGACAGACTGGTACTTAATGGAGGGGGGCTTTGGTAAGCAGTACCTGGAGCAGCTCCAGCATTGGCATTGCGAAAGAATATGTCCCATGACTAAAAAAACAAAAACAAAACCAAACGTTTGCTTGCACGGAAATCACCAAGTCATTCCAATCCACTATCTGCTTTCCAACATTGTCAACAGTAGCTTGAGGTTTTCTTCTAACACAACTAAGCATTACCTTATAAAAAATGTTAGAGTGATTTAAAATGTAGAGAAATCTCCAGCAGGTGAAGTCTTGCATTCTCACCCCCTTACCGGTAAAGCACTGCCTTATATTCAGGTACCCCTGAGATGAATGGTGGTGAAAAATATCCCTCTAAATTACCAGGCACCACAATCAAGTTTTTCAGTACCTATGTGGTTAAGCATCTTTGATTCTATCTCTCCCCCCCCCCGGCTTGCTTCTGACAAGGGGAAATACGTCACATCAAATATAAATTGGTTACTTTTGGCTCCTGGGTATCCAGAAGCAAAGCCACCAAGCACAGGTGTATGTATGTATATGTATGTATATATATATGTGTGTGTGTGTGTGTGTGTGTGTGTGTGTGTGTGTGTATATATATATATATATACACACACACACACACACACACATTCCAGTCCAAGAGAAAGACCAAAGACCAATGGGTAGGAAACAAAGGAAACGTGATATTTTCCACTTTGTATTTGATCCTGTTCCAACTGTAGCCACTTAGGCAGTGGCAACAGTAGTGCAGACATGGTTTAATGGAATTTTAGCAAAATTTGCCCCACTATACCTACATCATTTAAAACTAATTCAATAAGCAATTAACTGTAATATTAGCCAATTATAACCCTGTAGTTCACCTTATCACGTTCGGCCACAAGGAGAAGTCTCTCAGCCAAGCTTAAAGAGGATTTGCACTTGGAATTCTCAAGACTAAACAGACTGAAAGGTTGGCTAGACTACTACTGATGGCATACAGCATATACAGCAGCTCTGGACAAAGAAATAAGGAGAGGTGGCTAGGAGACTGGCAATGTAGGAAAAAACAGGCAAATAATGAACCATTAGGATTGTGGTTAGCAGGGGTCATTTCGTAGAAAAAGAGCTAGGGGGACTCATTAGCATAATCATTAGCATATCCCACACCCCCTGACATCACCGGAAGTGTGTCCTCCCCACAGCTGGCGGTGACCTCCAGCGGGCACCAGCAGGGAGCTCCAGGCCCCGCCCTCCCGCACCTCACCCGGGGGGATAGCGTCCCCCCGCGTCCCCCCCCAAATGACCCCTGGTGGTTAGCGCCTCCCACTCCAGTGACCTAGAAGCCAAAGGCATCATACTATGGAATCTACTCTCTTTCCCACCCATCAAACTTATCTCTCTTAATGAATCAGTAACCAGCACTTTCACCCCGTGATCAAAATAACATAGAATCCGCTCCAAGCAAGAATACTGTGTCATTATTGGAGGGTATCTATTTCCAAAGAGTTGCATACAAGGCTCATAGGGAACAAGTTATAGCAGTTTTTATCAAGGTGTAAGCAAATCTGCTGTAGTGATTTACCAACAGAGCTATGAACCAGGGAGTCTCCAATTTAAAGCTAGTTTCTGCCATGGCTTTAGACAAGCTATGCTTCACAGCCTCCCCCCATCCCGCATCTGCACCTTGGAGATATTAATATTACCTTACAGGCTGTAAAGATAACAAGGTAATGTATGTGAAAGGCTCTGTATCCTTGAAGAAGAATAGTCAGTACAGAACAAACCTTGATAAGCACTCTAGTTCTCCAGCCGTATAGAGAAACAAAAAAGCCTTTGAACACAGGGAAGTGCACCTTGTGAACTTCACATCATGTGCTACTGTACTAATATCAATCCTGGTCACATGTCACTGCGGCTATTTCTAGCATTTCCTATTTACGTCAGCTGTGAACCACACGATGAGAGTGAGGAACAGACCTAAGGAAAGATCCCTTGGAACAGGCCTGGACACAAAGGACTATTGCCCCAACTTCTTTTGTAACAGAGGCAGTTTGCAATATGGCAGGCAGCAGGGTGAGCATCTGCTGCAGAAAGGAAGAAGTCAACCATTGTAGCGAGCACACCCAAGGTCTTGAAATTACACCTTGGATCTTGCACATGGCTAACTTTTGAAACAATTCATAACCTTTGTCAAAATAATAAACACACAAAAAAACTTATTTCTTGGTCAGGAATTCAGAGCAGCCAAAACCCAAAAGCCTTAGCTCTGTTTTGATTTTCACTACAGCACATAGCTGATGTGGCAATATCTGATAACCAGCACTGACAAGCATAGGAGGGCAAAGATTTTCCCCCACTCCTGCCAATAAGCCTCTTCCTACCTAATATTTATCCTCACTCAACTTAGAAGGCAAGCCATGATTAGCTTTATACAACACAGTAACACAGAACTCATTGCTTGCGTGCATGGAAGACGGCCTTTTCTGGTTTGATAAACTGGTTATAGCAATGCTATGCAAAAGACATCTGAAGCAAGCAAGGAGAGAGGTTAATGGAGCACCCTGTGGCCATAGACCATGCTCAGCTGTTACGAAGTTCCATGGGTATAAAAGAGCTAGTTTGCTTATGTGTGTTTGCTCTCATTGATGATTTAAAATACACTTAGAAGGCCACATGACAGGTAATCAATATTTCTCAGGAGAGAGGAGGTGTGATCTGTGCCCTGTTTTTTTTTGGGGGGGAGAGGGTAAAATAAATTTAATAATCTCAAGATAATTGAGATATGGAAGGTCATTTTCAACCAGGATATGGACGGGCATTTTCAACCAATCACACAAAAAGTAAGATGTCTGAAAATTTACTTTGCCATCAGTGGACAGTTCTCCATACCACTGCCAAATTTCCAAAGGAAAGGGTGACTCACTTGGCAGAACATTCACAAAGAACCACCACCCGCCCAACCCCAACCAAAAAACAAACAAACCTGTGTCTAGAGTGCACACAAAGACAGCAGCTTCCATAGTTTCTATTAATGGCATTTATCATACCTAATGTGCAGTTTCTCAGCTGCTCTATGCTGATGTCTCTGAGTAGTGAACTGAGAGAAAGACTGCAAAGCATTGATGTTAGCAGTAGTACATATAATAAAGCAAATCAAAGCCAGAAACCAATGACCCAGGTTCTGTTCCATTCAAATGCAATCCAGCAGGCTGCCATTTTTCACCTTACACACATTTGCATAGTGCCCTAAGAGCTCCCAAATCAGACTAGGTTCCTAGGCCTCTGAGACAATTTCATTCTCAGTGTTACACAAACGGTAGCCTCATCCCATCTCAGTAGTGTAGATATCCTGTTCCCATTTAATGGGCAGGGATGACAGGAGGAAACCCTGCTACAGAAAGACTAGTTCCCTGTCCTCACTGTCCTATAATTAAAAAAAATATGTACATTTTGGGTATATTGAGTATTTTTGTTTACACAAATTTCCAGATGTTCAAAGCAACAAAAACCCTGTAGTTTGGTGTAGCGGTTAAGTGCACGGACTCTAATCTGGGAGAACCAGGTTTGATTCCCCACTCCTCCACTTGCAGCTGATGGATGACCTTGGGCAAGCCATAGTTCTGTCAGAGCTGTTCTGAAAAGAGCTGTTTCTGTCAGAGCTCTCTCAGCCCCACCTCCCTCACAGGGTGTTTGTCGTGGGGAGGGGAAGGGAAAGGAGTTTGTAAACTGCTCTGAGACTCCGAGTGAAGGGCAGGGTATAAATCCAATCTCTTCTCTTCTTCCAAATCCAATTTCTTCTCTTCTTCTAACTGCAGCTTTGAACATTTTTATTACTCCATTTACCACTTGACTCTTATCCCACCTACTGCTTCTCTTCTGCCATTCCTCCTTCCATCTGTTTTCTCCTACTTGCCCAGCACACATGACTAGAAAACCCAACTGGGAAAGAAGCAGGACAGGGCTTTAATATGAAAGTGGTAGGTGAAGAAGGGTGAAGTCCCCTCAACCACTGCTTCTCACTCGTCAATGCTACACTTTCTTTGGACACTGAAAGCCAACATGGGATCAGGAATCCCATGACAGCTGCTAAATGTTGAGGTCTACCTTCACTGTGCTATACTTGCAGCAGCAGTAAAAGTCAGAGAATAACCAAACCTAGTTATTACTGGCTGAAACCTCAGGAACGTGAAATGACTGAGCGATACAAGGAAATTACTCAGCAGTTTTCTTTACAGGTTGCTTGCAAAACTCAACACTATCCATGCTTAGCACATGTAACGAAAGCAAACTACTTATAGGTGTTGCATTGAAATGTTCAAACATTGTATCCTGTGGCTGGGATCCAGAGACCTCTTCAGGCATATGCAGGGTGCTTGTGCTGGCAAAGTAGAATTTCTCATTGTTCTTCTCTGAGCAGCCCATGAACCATTCCATGCTTCTGAAATTCCCCTGAGTTTTTTTCTCTCAAAAGGAACTCCTCCTACCAAAATCAAGTTTTCCACAAGAGGCTCCTGTTCAAGAACAGACAAATCTAAATAAAGCCCCTCTTTGGATCATGGAAATACTTTCACGGTTCCTTGGATCCTGGCCCATACTTCTAACAAGCTTGGCTAAATCTTTCCTGATATACCACCCACATGTCCTATAGTAAAGGCTTCACCCTTGGCAACGGCTGGTGTTTAGCACATCAGTAGCCTATTTAGAACATAATGCAGAGGGGAAAAAATGTAGTTCTACAGAAGCCTAATTTCCATATTATGTGACTTAGATACACCATTTCCACAAAATGCTGCTGAGAAAGTTACATGTAATACGCCTGAAGGATTATCCTGGGGTTTTAAAAACACTGACATAAAGGCCTAATTACAAACACTGAAGCTGAAGATCAGCAGATAAGAACTCCAAATCTCATTTCCCACATCTGCCATAAACTTTCCTTCAAGGACAAACGTAAAGCAATTGGTATTAATAAAGCTTGCAGAAGTAGGGGAAAACCTGATATTCATTCAGCATTTTTTTGCAGGAGCTGAAAACAAGATGTTTCTAATGAAAAATTTAGTAATTCCTTTGCCAGAGATGACTTCTGCATGACGCTGGCAT